TTTAGGGTTTAGGGTTTAAGGGATCGAAAGCCTCTGCTCCCCAAATCCCAATGCTCAACCCCAAATTCCAAACCTAAGAACCCTAAGATCCTATCGCCTAAACCTCGCACCCCTAAGAAATCTTCAAGCACCCCCTTCCCGAGATCTCGAACCGAAGCTCCCGCCGTCTCTGTCCTCCAAGGGCTCCTTTCAAGGGTCCATAAGAGATGGCCAGGAGATTTTCTCAGGAAGGTAGCCCTGAGCCCGAAGCTTTGAAAGCATGGGGCTTTAAGCGTTTAGGGTTCTCAGGTTTCTGGGCTTAGAGTTTGATCATTTTGAAGCTTTAGGGTTTAGGAGTTTCGGAATTCAGGCTCGTAGCATATAAGAACCTGTGGCACAGCGACCGAGTACAACATCTGGCAGGCAACGCAGAGGAGACCTTAGATGATGGCAGCTCGAAACGATTGAAGTCGTTGCATGGACTACCATGTAAGTACCAGGTAAGGTTGGCATAATCGACCACAGAAGTCAACACCAGAGGGCCTCACCTGAACCCCAATCCCCAAGCCCTAATATGGGGGGCTTAAATAACTACCTATACTTTGTTGGGGGTTCCTTACAATAATAGAAGTAGAAATGGGTCCCAAAACCCTATTCTAACTGTTGAAGCCCCTATATTTTCCGCATAGCCCCCAGGGCCCGCCACCCCGAAGCCTTGCTTTCGAGAAGCCTAAGGTCAACATCAAGCGAGGTGGCCTCAACCATACCTCCTCGCTGCCCGGTTGAGATTGAACGATTGAACCCCCTCTCGTACCCATTGTCTTTTAGGGGGGGGGGGCGTACCTTAGAGCACATAAGTCATGAGGGGTTGGACTAGCTGTGGTAGCGTGGGTTTTGGAGAGTGGTTTGTTTCGGGATTGTGTCATGGCTGTTATGGCTTATTGTGCAGATTGTTGGGAACGGTTTCCTCAGTAGGTGGATTGAGCTTGGTGATAAAAGCATAGGGAGGTTATCGAAGGTGAGGTCTGGTCTATGCCACTGCTTGCTCCTATGAATTAAGTGCATATGAACGCCTCAGGTCAATCCCATTCTAAGTCGCTTCACCCTACAACCTCAAAGTCTGTTTAAACTATCTTACACCCTGAAGGTTTGTTCAAGACATTCTAAGCTTTTACAGTCTGTTTGCATGATCTAGAATCTACTCCCAACGTCCCTACACCCTTATGCTAAAGCGGCTTCCTCTCCGCTCCCCAGGCGTTGCTCCTCTCGCAGGCTGGACTCCTTGGACGTCTTCCTCGGCATCTCCGCTTAAGGGTTTTTTGGTCCCGGCTTTTGGGTTTAATATAAGAGCAAAAATTATTACCCTTTACTATAGTTCTGGTATAAAGGGCCCCAAAACCCTATTCTACTTATTAAGGCCCCTGTATTACGGCTTAGGCTTTACGGTTTCCTCCGAGGCAAAGGTTCGAAGCCCAAAACTCCGAGCCCCAATCAGACACCTCTACAGGGTTTAGGGTTTAGGGTTCAGGGTTCAGGGTTTAGGGTTTAGGGTTTAGGGTTTAAGGGTGTAGGGTTTAGGGTTTAGGGTTTACATCAGATCCTGACTCCTGCGGGGCTTGTCAAAGCTTGGGCTTAAGGGGCTTCGGGTTTCACGGTCTGGGACGTCGAGTTTCGAGTTCACCCTAAACCCTAAGCCCTAAACCCTAAACCCTAAACCCTAAGCCCTAAACCCTAAACCCTAAACACGGACCGCCCGAGGCACTTCAGCCTCACCCTTACGTGAGCTGAACCGCGACTCGGTGGCAAAGATGGGGATGTTCATAAGAGTTCGTACAGGGACTCTTCCGAATTGTGTATAAGGGCTCCTACAAGGGTTCCTGCAACGGTTGCTGCAGGGTTTAACGTTCCGGGGTTCGGGGTTTAGGGTTTAGCCTTGAGATTTGGGCTTCTGGGAGCCCAGAACCTCACGTGAAATGTGGTTACCAGTTACCACCTTCAAATCTCAGCCCTACACCCGTACCCTAGATGGTAGTAAAGCAATCTAAACCCTGAAACCGCAAACCCTCGAAATCCCAATCCCCAATCCTAAAACCATCTGCAGACACTCAACCCTAAACCCTAAACCCTAAACCCTGAACCCTAAACCCTAAACCCTAAACCCTAAACCCTAAACCCTAAACGCTCCCCGAACCCAAGGCCTCTCCATAAACTCCTGAATTGAGGAGCTGTGCTGCAACTTGAGGAGGGGCTTGTCAGAGTCTACGGTTTAGGGTTTAGGGTTTAGGGTTTAGGGTTTAGGGTTTAGGGTTTAGGGTTAAGTGGCCCTAGGCGCTACATCCCAATCCTTCAACCCACAGCCCAGTCCCTGTAAAGCTAGGCTGATATTTCCGTAATCCCGAACCCGTAAACCCTCGATCCTGCTTGAGGTTAATGAAGCTTGCCAAAATAAAGTATTCGTCTCGTCTCGTCTTGTATGTATGTAGGTATCTATGTATGCATGTATGCATGTATGCATGTATGCATGTACGGATGTATGTATGCATGCATGCATGTATGTATGGGTGTATGTATGTATGTATGTATGTATGTATATATATATATATGTATATTTATATATGCATGCATG